GCGCTCAGCCAGTGAGCGGGAACTGGTCTCCACATGGGATCCGAACCCTCGGCGGGAGTGTGGCCGTGCTCCCAAGCGGCAGCGCTCAGCCAGTGAGCGGGAACCGGTCTCCACATGGGATCCGAACCCTCGGCGGGAGTGTGGCCGTGCTCCCAAGTGGCGCTAAGACAATTGTACCCTTCTTCATAGCCATAATAAACATGTCGGAAAATGGCATGCTGTTCGAGGGCTTCTCCTTGTGACCTACTTGGGAAGGACAAATGAAAAATCCGTGAGGGAGGGGATTAATAGGTTGTACTGAACCTCAGAAACTTTGCAGACCTGATATCAAAGATCTTAGTATTTCACAAAGAAATTGATTTATTGCAGAAATAGGGAAGCGTTGAATTGATAACTTATTTTGCTTTGTAAAGCTATGTCAAGCAAATATATACTTTTTTCCAAATTTTTCTGATATTTTCTTCATAGAGTAAAATATCTGGGTATGTTTTAACATTCTTCTTTTTTTTTTTTTTTCCTTTTTGTCTTTTTCTACTGACCGGTAATGGGATCACAACCCTCAGTGTCGCGCCCGCACCAGGGACTGGCAATGGGATCGCAACCCTCGGTGTTGTGCCTGCACTGCGCTCAGCCAGTGAGCGGGAACTGGTCTCCACATGGGATCCGAACCCTCGGCGGGAGTGTGGCCGTGCTCCCAAGCGGCACACTCTCCAGTGCGCCACCAGGCCGGCCCTTAACATTCTTCTTTTAATCAACTCTCTTTACTTAGTAGGGGAGTGTCTGTTCCCTAAGAGACCTATTTAGAACATAGAGACCCTTAGCCAGGCCTATGTCAGTGGCTGGCTAATGCAGGCACATTGCTAGTTTTCTCCTGACCAAACTGCTGCCTACTCAAACTGCTTTTCTATCACTTTTTGGTGCTAAAATCTCCCAGCGTTTTGTTCATCATATCACTGCAATAGATTTATTTCGTTTTTTAATATTTTATTCTTTGGACCTGTACTGCCATGGTTTACATATTAAGATATTTTTTTCTCTCTCCACCAAAATCGCACTAATAATCCTCTCAAGAAAAGATTTCACCACCAAACTGACAACGACTCATATATTGAGAATTTACTGTGTGTGTGGCACCACTGTAAGTACAAGTATGTTGATTAATTTATTTAATCCATAGAACAATTTATAAGGGGCATTTTAATTAAATTTATTTTACAGATGATGAAACTGAGGCAAGGAGAGGTTAAGAAAGATTTTCTAGCTTAAGCAGAATCGTTGATCTTCCTGCCTACCCATGTTCCTGAACAACTACTTGGAATTGTTTCCATGAAGCCTTCAGATCAGGCATGGAACAGGGGAAACCTAGTGTTCTTTACCTGAAGATGGTTTCATCAAGGATTTAGGCCCCTTTGGGTAAAGAGCATCCTTGAGGTGTCCCTATAAATTCTAAAGAACGGTAAGCCAAGAGATTTGACCCAAGAAAGAAGGAAAGTTGCACTTTGCACCAGAGCAGAGCCTTTCCAGCTAGTACTGGATCAATTAAATGTCACAGTGATGTCCCAAGAGTTATCAAGGTCTTGCTTTTATAAAAAATACCACAGGGGAACTGTGGAATAGTGGACTGGGTTCTGGCTAGAGAACTGGGAGCCCTGACTCTCATTTTCAGCTCTGCTGCTGGCTGTCTGTGTGATCTCTCTGAACACATTCTCTACAGTGCCTTTTCAACAGTTTTTAAGACAATATGTTGATTTCAAAGAAAAGGTGTCAAAGCAGGTATTATGAAAGAAAACAAGCAGCAGTGTTTTTAATATACAACTGAAACGTCAGTAGTCGACTGATACGACGTTTAGTGAAGGCCGTTAACAGCTTGAGACTGGTGTTTTATGTATTGACAGAACGTGGCTTCACTTTCAGGGTGAATGTGGCATCAGCCCCTGGCTTCTGCTAGGAGACAGTTCTTACTCATCCTTCTGTATGAACTGCCAGTGTGTTGCATTGCCTACTTGGAAATATCTGCCAGTAATGGACTTTAAGGACAAAAGAACAGACAGGCTGGGCTTCCATATCTGACCAGTTTAGGGAAACTGTCCTTAATGTGCAGAACAGCTAGCTCTTAGGAACGGCCTGGGCGGCACTAGTTTTGATAACGCTAATTGTAGCTAAATCTTTTTAGACTACAAACACTAAGACAATTGTACCCTTCTTCATAGCCATAATAAACATGTCGGAAAATGGCATGCTGTTCGAGGGCTTCTCCTTGTGACCTACTTGGGAAGGACAAATGAAAAATCCGTGAGGGAGGGGATTAATAGGTTGTACTGAACCTCAGAAACTTTGCAGACCTGATATCAAAGATCAGACCCCTTTATGCTAAATCAGAGAATGAAGAATTTAGTTACTCAGATTCCCTGTTGTTTTAGGTTGGGCGGATGCTTGGCATATGTTTATTTGTCTCATATTTCAGTGATTCTAGATCTTCCGTTTAGGCCCACTGTGTATGCAGAGAGGCTGTCGTGCACTGGCTGGGCTACCACAGTACACAACAACAGACACGGCCCCTGCCTCCATGGAACTGGAAGTCCAGTGGGGAAGACAAGCATTAATCACAGCATCAGATGAATCCGTTTGAAATTAAACTGAGATGAGTGCTGTGAAGGACAGCAGAGCTTATAACAACAGGACTTAACTTTATCAGGGAGACCAAGGAAGACAGACCCCTGTGGAAGTGACAACCAAAAATCTAAAGGATGAGTGGGATTTCTAGTAGAGATATCATCAGGCCATTGGCACTGTGGCAGAGAAAAACTGGTACCGTAAAGAATAAGGAAGGCTTGTGGAGCCGGAATGCAGAGATGATAGACAGTGATGAGGCTTGGAGGAGGTGGGGGGCTATGGAGAGCCATGGACGCCATGCTAAGGATTATTTTGGTCTTTATTCTGAAAGTCAGAGGGAAGCAGGACTGTAAGGTGGCCAGATGACCAATTCAAAAGGCTGTCTCTGGCTGAAGAGTTTAATCATTTTATTTCTTTAGTGAAAACATGTTACTCGGGAAGGCAGGGCTATGTGCTGATAGTCACAGAGAAGAAAATTTGCAACCCACAGCTAGATTGGGCTCCTATCTCTGACCAACCATTAAGTTGGTCCTGAGATTCAAGGTGGTATCCTATGGAAATTTTACATATTTGCTTCTAAAGATCTGAGAGTATTATGGTTTAGTTGATAAGGATACTTAAAAGGAAATCTAAGTGTTTGACCCATATAAGCTCTTCTAACCCTGAGACTCATATATACATTTAACAAATATTTATTGATCATCTACTACATTCCAACCTCTAAACACTAGGAATACAGTGGTTGACAAGACATACACTGTTGGTGCCCTCATAGAGCATGCATTGTAACAGAGGAGACAAACTATAAACAAGCAAATAAGTAAATGTGTAACATGATGCCAGGTAGAGATAATTGCTATTTAGATTAGTAAAGCAGGGTAAAGAAATAGAGAAAAGTAACAGAGGGTACTATTTTTGATAAGGTGATGGGGGAGTCCTTCCTGAGTTGGTGACATTTCAGTAGACATCCGAATGACATGCCTGAGTGAGCAATAGAAAGATCTGGGGGAAGAACATTCCAAGCAGATGCAACAGCAAGTGCAAAGGTTTTAAAGCTGCACTGGCCTTGGCCTGCTGGAAGAGAGCAAGAAGTCTAATGGGTATGAGTGAAGTGAACCAGGGGCAAAATGCTAGGATGGGGTTGGGAGCCAGACACATTCTGTGGTTCCACTGAGTTGTGGTCAAGTGCACATTCATATTCCATACCCAGAGGTCTCGTACTTGTCCACACGCATAACACGAAGCATCGAGTATCCGCAGCTGCAGATCATTTCTTACCACCTTCAACTGCACAACATTTGTTTCAACAAAACAGTCTCTTTCCATTTGCCTTTTTTTCAATCTCTACCAATATCTCTTCCTATTAAAATGTTCTTTCTGCCTTTTCTCTCATTCTCCTTTCAGTGGAGAGTACCAGGCTATCTTTGTGTTTATTCTCAATTAATAAAGAATTTTGTATTTGTTTTTGTTTTGCTAAATGTTTCTTTTTTTAGAAATTGGCACCACCGTGCACTTCAAGCAAAAAGGTATGATTCCTATTTCTGATTACCTTCTATATGTTAAAGTTAAGATTTCACAGCGATATATTGTGGTCTTATATGAGGGGGCTTCAAAAAGTCTATGCAAATATTTGTATTATTTTAGTTCTATTTACCCATGAACATTTTGAAGTACCCTTGTATACTTGAGTATATTTCAGTTCAATAATTTGTGATAATAATTAACATATTTGGCATAATTTTTCCCAAATTGTGAACTTTCTCATTTACAAAAAGTCCTCAATCCAACTCGTGACCTTTATATTCCTTTGACAGTTATTCATTTTTAAGTCCCTTGAACTGAGCAAGTTATTTTCTGTCCTGCCCCCTGCCCCCTACTTTCCTTTTCTTAAGTGTTCATGGTTAATTCTTGCAAAGCTTCATTTTTGGAAATGCTCACTGCCCCGTGACAGGGCTCTCAGAAGAGAAACTGAGCCTATTTTACAATCACTTGGATATTCAAATAAATGCATTGCTAAAGGAGATAGAGCAGCGTATCTTAAAATGAAGCACTTGAGCAGTTAATATTTCCTCCTGCCTCATCATTCTTCCAGGTCTTTGTAAAATCTCACTGCTGCATTACACCTGGGCTGCTGGGCTCTCCTAAGAACTGCCATTGTATGCCCTCCAGCTGCCCCAAGTACCTCCAGCAGCCACAGGACACACAATCCACATACTTTTCTCTGCAAGGATGGCACAACCAGGTCAAAGCTTCATAAAATGGACCCTAAAATGCAAACGAGTACTACTTCTGAGGTGTCCTCTTTACAAGTGCAATAGATCATAATCCCTAACAGTGACTATCCCCAATCCAGAGCCACGGAGACATCTGTATGGCCAGACACCACCTTCCTTAAGTCCTTGTGGTTACCCACTTGATTGATAATTGTCTCATATAAGGATGTCTTCCTCTCTGAGTCTCAAACAGGATGAGAAAAACAAGATCATTCTCAATAGTGAAAACCTGTTCCTGTGGGACTTAGTGACCAGTGACTGAGAGCCACAAAGATTATGGACACTTTGTTGCTTAGTCCCCCCAAAGAGGCCAGCACCTTTTTTATGTCCAGTGCTAGCAGGTCTTTTATATATATATATATATTTTTTTTTTTTTAATTTCAAAGACCGTAAGATAAACTGCCAGTTTCACCAGAAAGAGTTCTAAATATTGGCCTAAAATTTCAAAAATATGCATGCCAAAATACTTGATGCTGTTTTGATAGAAAAGATGTGAGATTCCACCTTTACTGTGAGAATATTCACCTTACCAAAATCCCACTTTGTAAGGGGTGGAGATAACGCATAAAGAGTTATGTATTTAATTCTAAGACCTGTTACTCAATGAAAACAATATTTTCCCTCCTCTAATCTGCCTGCTCCAGTCTAGAGATTACAGGCTTTAATCCCCAATTCATTTACTCAGAAGATGCTGTACCGGCAGAAAACGGACAGCAGGTGGTGGCAAAGGCAACCTTATCAGCCTTCCCTTTAAACATGGCTTCCTCGGACACCAAAGTGTAGTCTGCACATCTAGGCTATACCCAAGAGAGATATTTAAGAGATTCTGCGGATTATCGTTCTCCTTTGTTTAACAATCGTTGTACAAATTGTTTAGGTTTTTGTTTTATTTTCAGTCACTAGATCAGCCCTTAACAATTCTAAAAAGAATTTAAACTTAAACTCCTCTAGACTTTCTTTCTACTTATATGGCTGAACTATGTACAGAAATAAAACTGTGATTAACCCTGATTCCTTAGTAACCGAAAGGATCACTGAGAGCACGATTGATGACCACTTTGAATAAATCTAGTACTAAATTCAGGAAATGGGCCCTAAGTACTCAGGAGAAGAAACAGAAAAACTGTTGGCCAGATTTGAGTCACAAAGTATCTCCAAGCGCAAGCTCTCTAACACAGGCGTTGGAAATCACCTTGTGCTTTCTTTGAGATTTTACAGAAAGTCAAATCAATTGGCTCAGGGTCCTGCATCAGATCAGTAATGTAGATCTCATATCCGTCAATTTCAGGATGTTTTATCAATCTTGCCCTTAATCACAAATTCCCTTTTATAAGCATTGTCATGGCAAAATGCAATCCAGCATTCACCTTGATACAAAGTCTCATTTATTCTACCCTGGGGTTGAGAACCTTGACCTGGTGTGTTGACTCATGGTTCAAAGTCTTGCTGCAGCTGAATTTGTCCCTTAGGGTCAGAATTAAAAGGCTTGACCCAAGTCACAAACCAGTGCCTTTGATTCAGGTTGATATTTGATCCCTTTCTGTAATCCAAACTTCTATATTGATGATAATAATAATAGTAATAATAATGCCACTACCATTTGCTGAATGTTTAACAGATACCAGACATATCAGTGTGTACGCACACACATAACACACATATAGAATGTGGTTAAATACCAAGATATGACTTTTGTCTGTTATATGAAAAACTTGTAGCAAATTTTTGAATTATGCTTCTATTTGCCCATCTATTCTTAAGGCTAATTTATATTTTCAGACTCTTCTTTCATTATATCTGTCAGTATATGAAAGTACTAGCTGAGCCTGGCCATCTGGCATGGGAAATAAGATTTATCATTTGCATTTCCATAAATAAGCAAAAATTTCATAACTATGAACTAAAACGTAATTAATGATCTTGCTGATTATTTTCCTCTGAAATAGCCATTAACTGAAGTAGGGTCCTATGCGGTCATATATATTTATAATTTCATACACTCTTGTGATGATTCCCCAACTATCACCCATTTTTACTCTTGTATATTTTCAAGCCTGTTTATTTACTCTCAAAAGCAATTATGAAAAGAGCAAATCATATGAGCACATTAAATAGCTATATGAGAGCACTTAATAAATGATAATTGATAGAGATGAAGATATCTTTAACAGATGCACAAACTGCATCTCAAATATATAATAATAATAAGGATAAAATTAAAGATCATTAACATAGCCATACTGGTATTCCCTGTTATAACATAGAATAGCATTGGAAAGCAAGAGGTAATTCTGAATTATGTGTACTAAAACACCAATAATATGTGTGATATCACATGTGTAATATTAGTATGTATAAACATATATACATTTCTCTCTGTGTGTATGATCTGTGTGTATGTATATATATATATATATATATATATATATATTAATAGAATCCAAAGTTAATCACTAACTCTACCCTCTTCTTGTTCCTGGTGAATTTGAAAGACAAATCTGTGTAGGGCTTATGCCTGCAGGTTCAATTTCTCTGAGAAAATTTCTATTTTTCTGATGCAAAACCTGAGGTTGAGGCAAATAAATCAATAAATAAAATAAGTTATTTTTTTTACCTCGGAGTCTTAAAGAGTGCAGTATATATATATATATATGCACATACACACTCACAGACATAACAGCATTTCTAGAAGTTCATGGAAAAATAGAATTAAAAGGTAATACAAATCTTTTCATGAACTTCTTGAAGTGCCTTTGCGCACACACACACACACATATATATATATGCATTATCAAGAATATTACAAGTGAACACTTTTATCCAGGTTTTATACATGTATATATTATATTTTTCAATGATGGAATTTTTGCTTTCTCAAATATTTACTGCCATTTAAATAAAATAAGACCAGTCTTCTTAGCCTTCTCCAGATACCACTTAGTTCCAATATGTTTGAAAGATTAGCCAGCCTGCCCTAGCACTAAAAATGAGAGTGAGGAAGTAAGCAGAATTGGAATCTTTCTGAAAACCATCCCTGGGGAAAAACAGAAATAATTTTTGCTTAACCCTGTATTTTTGTGTAGTTTTTCTCTGTTTTGAAAACCTCACTGATACACTAATACGAACAAATGTGCCAAGGACCTAATGCCATATAATGTGTACAGAGAAACTAAAACAATAGGAGATGACATTGCCACTAGGCCGGAAGCCCTGGGAAGTTGCTAATAAGAGAGTTTGAAGGTCCGAAAAGTCCAAAGAGGGTGGGAGTGGGGGACCTGGAGAGAGTGGATGAGGAAGGGTATTGAGCTAAGACTCGGGACACCTGGACTTTAGTGCCTGGTCAACTATTACTAATCAGGTGCTTTACGCAATATGTATGATATCATTGAACCTCAATTCCTCATGAAAGGCATGGACCTGAAAGTAGCTCAAGTGTCTTTTATTAATATGACCCTATAGCCATTCAGAAAATTAGAGACTAATTGAATATTTAATTTCTTTACTCAAAAAAATAATAATGTATTCTGCTTTGCACAGGATAAAGGTTTTTATTTACAGTAACTATGCTGCTCAAAGTTTGTATATGTTCATATTTTTACATTAAGGAATATTTTAAATATTCTCAAGAACGCATTCTAGCCAGGAAATACTCTATTGAAAATCATTTTTGCAGAGATAATGGATGTCTCCTTGTTGTTTTTGTTTGTTCTGGTTATCGTTTTAATCAAACCCAAGTTTCATTTGCAGAATGTTTGCAAAATATTCATCTGCACACCTTCACTGTGTAACTGAAACCCCAGCTCCTCTGCTCACAAGTTGTGTGAACTTGTCCTATGGACTTAACCTCTCTGTGCTGCCCTTATTTCACTGTAAAATAGGCTTCATTACAGTACAGTACACACCTCATAGCATGGGGTATGCTTATATTTCTAAAGCATTTATAACAGTACCTTGTAGTAAGTGCTATGTAATTGTTTGTTGGATTCTTTTATTGCTGTTGCTGCTTTTATTATTTACATAAAACATAGATTAGGAGACCATTCTAGAATTCAGCATTTTTCCCTTTTATCCTACCTCCAATCTGGTATGTTTGTAAATAGTTTTGGAAAAATTCACATACCAGAGGATGCTCCCAGTGCACTTGCAAACCATCATAGTTCTACACACACACGCACACACATATCAGTCTGCATACGTGCCCTCAAAACTTCAAAATGACCCATAGTTATAGTCGCACCATTTTCTGTTCTGAACATCACTGCCTGAGTATGCAGCCTTCAATCCAAAAGTCTCAGTAGTGAAAAGCACTATTTGTCTCCTTTGGTGGAACATGAACAGAATCATACAAAAGGAGAAAATGGAGCAAGCACAGGAGACAAGCTCTCCAGTCGAACTGACAGTTTCTGCCCCTTCCTCCTCTTTCCACCAGCACAAACCCCTCCTCCACCTTCCTCTCCATCACACTCCCCTCTCAGACCCACACCCACATCACCCAAATTGTGTCCATGTTGGGAAACCGGGGGACAACAGAAAACGTAGACTGTCATTCCAAGTTCAATTTTAGGCAGTTTCAAATCTCAGTTCTGCTCCAGGTTTGGACCTGCCTCTTAACCTTTCTAGGTTTGTTTGTTTATTTTTGTTGTTGTTGTCTTTGCTTTTGCTTTTAATTTTTAATGTGACAAATGAAGCATTTGCACAAGATGATCCCCTGCTGCCTCTTAAGACTCTACAATGTATTGATGTATTTTCTACCTTACTAAGGTGCTACCCAGACATAAATGTCACATTAAAGCAATTCTCCTCCCTGTTAATAAGTAAATAACTGCTTCTCCTCTGGGAAGCAGAGACAAGGGAGTCATGGATTGGTTCCTTGTGTTACTGATGGCGATGCGTTGTTGACTGGGCTGGAAGAGCCTGTGTCTGTCTGGCTGCTGAAGGACCCTCACCAATGCTCGGAGTCTTAAAGAGTGCAGGCAGAGCGTGCAAGGGGAGTTAGGGGACAGGAGCCTGTGGCATCATCAGACACATGGGTGATAGGCAGCTTAGGGGCTGCTCCAGCAAGAGCATTTGCTATTTAGAAGTGATTCAACCAATACCCTCTAAGATACTTGTAGCTCAAGGAGAAGGATTTAGGAAAAGTCTTGAGCCCTTCTTGGGTTGCTCACAAGCACACTGGCTCCGAAGTTCTGGTACTTGGTCAGGCCTTACTCTGACCCTGTCAGCAGTCAGCCAGGACAGAAAGTGGACAGATGTAACTATTCTTTTCTCTCTCTCTCCTCTTTTGCTCTGCAGGACCTGGGTCGGTGAGAGGAATAAATGGATCCATCAGTCTGGCCGTACCACTGTGGCTGCTGGCAGCATCTCTGCTCTGCCTTCTCAGCAAATGTTAATAGAATGAAAATTTAAAAATAATTTAAAAACACACAAAAATGCATTACACAGAATACAGAGAGAAAGAGAGTGAGATGGGGGGAGAACGTTCATTTCACAACTTTGTGTGTTTATAAATGAAGGGAGAAATAAGAAAATGGAGAAGAAAATACATTTAAAACAATTTTAAAGTTCATCAATAAAAATTTGAGCATAATTCAGGGTGGAAAAAAGTTCTGCCAGGATATGTGTACATCTACTAAGCAAATGTGTGCTGTATAAAGACTACATCATGCTAAGGACATCCGGATGCTGTAAAAATAAGACAAGAAATACCAGATGGATATTAACCCCCCCACACACACACACACACATACACTTTATCCTTCCTTCCTTCATCCTTTTTCATCTGTGGGGGAAAAAAAATAAGGTCTTGCCTTTGGTGTTTATATTTTCTTTCTTTTTTTTTTTTTTCTGTTTTTCATTTGAGCTGACATAGCAATTTCAGACTATCAGTGGAATCCAGCATTGCGCCATTACCTGGCTTTCCTGCCTCCACGTTTCTCCAACTTTTAAGATCATCACCGCTCCCTTCAGCGTGTTCTATCCCCCCACACCCATCCCAGACACTCCTTTTTTATCTGCTCCCCCACCTCTCTACCTCCCCCAGCGCCCCCAGAGCACTAGTCATGCCGCAAATGCTAGGAAGTGCCATTTTAATTTTCTCCACTGTGCGCGTGTGCTCGTCTCTCGCTCTCATGTGGGTGTACATGTGTGTGAGCGTGTGTGTCTCTCTCTAAAGCATGCCCAGGGAATGGTCCGTGTGTACATAGACTCATCGTGCTGTAGATACTGTCCTGCATTGTAATCGTGAGATGCGGCTATAACAAGTTGCTGGGGGAGATGGTGGGGAAGGAGGCAAGGAGCAGAGTCCCTCCTCACATCTCTGGCTGTCACATGACATCAGTGTGTATTGAAACCAAGGTGAGCCCTTCTGAGGGCAGGGCCCCATATTCCTCCTAGTCCCATCATCATAACCCAGTCGGGAGCCACTCAGAACATCACTGTAAATGAAAGTGCCTACTACCAATGGGTTGAGCAAACCATAGAATGAATCAATGACCTGGATGAGGTGACATGGGAGAGAAGGTTTCAGATTTCACTCTTGCTTTATGAGTCTGAGGGATTGTATATTTCCTGGCTTTTTACAGGCTGGGCCGTGCTCTGTTGCAAACGTGAGCAGCATGTTGACTCCCAGTGGAAGGACAGTGAGCCACACGGAGATCCTAAGCGCCCTGTTTTGCCTCCTCCCTAATCTTCAAATAACACTACATTTTCCCTATGGATTCTCCCAAGCAGAGGATGTTTCCTATTTTAAATAGCATATAAGAGTGGGCAAGGCAAGAAAAGTAGACAAATGCCCAGTTCCCTACCCATATTCTGGAAATAGTGTCAGAGCTCCAATACAAAGCATTGACCATGTTTCCTATTTTAAATAGCATATAAGAGTGGGCAAGGCAAGAAAAGTAGACAAATGCCCAGGTCCCTACCCATATTCTGGAAATAGTGTCAGAGCTCCAATACAAAGCATTGACCATAACAGAAAAGAATTCACCCCTTGATTTCTGGTGTTCTAGGCTAATATTTTATTTGGTTACCTACATCATCCCCCTTCTGTTCCACTGATGGTGTTTGCAGCACCATTGTTCATGGTGGTCCATTGTTATCCTAGGCCAGGCTATGAGGAATTGCATTATATTTACCTCCCTGCTCTATTTAAATTTACATCTCTAAGAGTCATCTTGACATTGACACTGACACTGGTATGTGAACTGGTCCCTTAACCAAAAGGGCTGGTTGACTTGTAATAAATTTAGGCAGAAGTTGCATGAGTACCTCAAAGCTTGGCATCACCACATCATTAAAAAGACTTTTTTAGGAAAGTTCTTACAGATAGAGCTGGCACTCTGCACTCTATAGATAACTTTGTCAGGAAACCAACCATTGCTCTCACTTAGACTATAGGAGGTATCGGAAGTGATTCAGTTTATAAAAAGACAGAGGATTATTTTTGAGGTCATAATCAAATGTAATCCCTCAGAGCCATATACAGTGCCTCAACAAGTTTTGGAACCTTGAAAATAGCTGCCACGTGATATAAAATGAGAAACTTCATAACTGGAAGGAAGGAAGGAAAGTGGGGAGAAAGAGAGAGGGAAAACCTGAGCAGTATTTTTTATCTCTTCTAGGGGATTCCATTGTTTCTTTTAGAATCTTATCCCAGTCTTCTTTCATGATTTTGCAGTTTAGACAATAAACAGAAGGACAAGTTGGGCTTGAGAATGGGCAAGAGTATTTATGGCAGATTCTGACATAGGACAGACATTCTTACCCAAGAAGTAGCTAATAAAATACAGGAAAGGTGAGCTACGTTCCTCTGCAGCATCAATTTATTGACAGTATTTCTCTAACAGTTTGGTTTTCTTAGTACAGGAATAAAAGTCATCATCTCTGACGATAAATGTTCCCCATAGAGAGAAGAGGCTGCCATTGCCTCAAGTGGAAGAAGCTTCAGAACAGTTCATGCTAATTTAAAGATATACAGGAAGAGAAAAGTAACAGGAGTTAACGCAGATGTCCTTTAGTATTGGTTTCAGAAACAGATCCATGGCGCATGTCACAGGCTTTAATTATACACCTGGCCTTCTTATTATCTTGGTTGTGTCATAAAGACAAGGTCTTGGTGTTATGGGAGGAACTTCTCTATTGAAAGGAATGTCTTTGCCATGTCAGCACCATTTGTCCCTTTGGTTTTAATATAATGGACCATATATTAAACATAATTAAACACATACTAAAAGATTTGGTGTTTGCCTATATCTCTAAGAGGATCTGGGGATTTTTAAAATTTGCTTCTCGCTCTTGTTTCAGAGAAATCATTGGCCCCCAAAATCTCATAGGTTTGAGAATCTCTCTAAGTAATGTGAAGAATGGAGGATAACATAGTTTGAACAGAAGTCAGGAAAAAAGTAGGGGTCAGAGGACCGAGAACAAGAAATCATCAAGTCTCAGGATGAGACTTCTCAGAACTTAGTTCATCATTCTGCCATCAGTCCCCTCAAGAATCTTGTCCACTGGTAATCAAAGCTTGAAACCTTCACTGAAAAGCACCAACTGGCCGGAAATAACATACTAAGAGGAGTGAAGAGCATCAATTAATCTGAATGGCTAATATATTTAACGTCCCTTGTGTACAAAATGAAACTCCATCATTCTTAAAACAAAATCCTTAGACCCGACTTTCAATTAACAAAAGCAGAAATGACCTTGACCCAGGGAACTTCCTGAAAATGAGAACTACTCTAGGTTTTACAGCTGCAGAATCGTAGTTACACTCTCTGTGAAATCGTTCACCGAAGGGTTTTGCTTGTTCAAGAAACAGTCTTGCTTGTTTAGAGACATAAAATTCCTCTGTCCTAAAAGAACTAAGGCTTATAGAAAAGTAGATGTGTTTTCTGTCAGGAAGGATTGGCTCACTGATCTCTGCCTTCTCTTCCAACTCAGACAGACTTCTCCCTTGACATGGGTAGTTTTTGTTTTGTTTTGCTTTGTTGTTTACCGCATAGACAGACAACTGGAGCTATTCATAGAGACCTTCTAAAAGTACTCGTGATTTTCATGTTCTTGGAGGATGGAAACAAAAATGTTTCTCCTCCAAAAATGGACTTACCTCCTTTGCACACAAAAACTAAACTCCTCAGCATGAAATTAGTTTGAGTTATTGCCTACCGAGTCGTCAGCTTCCTATGTACTCCAGAGCAGGTTCCATCCCAGGGTTGGTTGTGGTTTGACTGTTTCTACTGGGTAATCTCCCTGAATTTCTCATTTTGTTCTTTGCAGACCTTGAATGATTTGTGGAAAAATAATATATATGTGTATGTATTTTTTTTAATCTTATCTTTACAGATGCTATATTTACAGTAATGTATGTATTATAAGACCAATTTAGAATAATGGTTTAAATGTAAACAAAAGAAAAGTACTGAATTTGTTTTTTTTTTTTTTTTTAGAAAAAAAAGAGCTATGCTTCATTTAGAAAGACATGGAGCCCCATTTTTTTCCATTTTATAATTATTTGCTTAAAAAATTTTGCTTACCGACCATGTTCTATGGGATTAACCATGTCCTCATTTTCCCCTTCATCCTCATAAACTTTTAGCCTAGATTTAGTCTTGGTTCCCTATAACTATCATTTTTGTAGAAATATAAGTGCAATACTAAATCTAACCTACAAAATCTATTAATATTTTGAAGACCCTAAAAATGAGATAAGACCCTCAGTTAAGAAATATAAATCCAGTTTAGGAAGCCTTCTTCTTTCTTAAGTATCTAAAATATTTTTCCTCCAAACACTGCATTTGCCTCAGTGATATAAATTTTCCATCACCTTTGGCATAATATCTGTCAATACCTCACTAAATGCAAAGCGAAGTTTACATTTATGTGCACACTAGCAGAAGAGAAGTAAACTATTCTCATTTGCATGTAGCTATGCTCTTCAAATGTCACCAACTGAAAGTCAAGAAAGAATTTGTTTTCACCCAGCAATGTACATCACTTTTTGCTTGGCAAAGAAGCTGCTGTTAATGTTGGTTTAGGTCTAACATTTATGCCAGCAAAAATGTTTATGGATATTATGGAAAACTTATTTTAAAATCTTGATTTCTTTTCAGCACATTTACATACTGTGTGCTGATTAATAAATTAGGCACCAATCATGTGTAAATCAATGTAAATCACTAGTTTATGTACATAATATAAACTATGTAAACTTCATTTTTCATGCAGGGCCCAAGTTCAGCTAAACATGACTCTTAAAGAAAAAAATCAAATAGGAATAAGTAAAAACCAAAGCATTTCACAGGAGTAAATGGTTATCTTTGTTCCTTCAGGACCTAAGCAGAGATTCTTCTGACTGTTGCCATAATTGTGTCACCTGACCCCAAAGCAAGGGAAATAAAGTAAAAGAGCAGGAGGAGTTTCAGGCTCATGTGTCTGTTGCGTCAACTTCCAGCTGTCTTCCTGTGACTTCTTCCTCACCTTCTTGGACGTCTTATTTAAATAGCTCTAAGGAGGTCGCCTATACCTTGATGAGCAAAATGTCACTCTGTTTTTATTTTCCATTTAACAAAAGCACTGGGAAATCTTCTTTGTCATCTTGATTCTAACAAATTGTGGGATATAAAAAATACGTTATATCCTCAAGAAATATCTTGCCGAGTCACCCTAGAAAATGACTACTTTTGCTTTACCTGGTAACCCTATTTTCTACATGTCTATCTGGAATATTGCAAATGAGGGACAAAATCATTTTAATTGGGAGTATCTGTCTCAGGCAAGTTCTCTTGAAGTCTTTTTGAAGTACCCGATATGTTTAACAGAATGACATATGTACCTTTTCTACAATCTCAACATCTGGTACATAAAGAGTCATCAAAGAGATAACTTCATGAACCATGTGAATTTTCTGCAAGGGCTGCTATAGAAAGAAATTTAGATCAAATTAACATTAGGCTTAAAGTTCACTTCTCTACCTATGATAAATGATAACCTTTAAAGTTAGATAGATGGTGTATTGAATTGGGAGTCGGGAGAATTGGGTTCTAGTCCTGGGTCTGGCCACCAAAAAGCTCAACATTGACAAGTTATTTTAACTTCCCTGAGTCTTGGTTTTCTCACCCTGAAAGTGAGAAATTTGGATGACATCTCTAAAATCTTTTTCAACTCTAAACTCTCTGATTCTGAATATGAATTTAATATTTACTTAGTGCTGTGCCCGGCTAACCATTCCAAGCAGCTGTTTGTCATCTCTAGTTTGGTCTCAGTACTGTTATCACTTTTCAGAGCCGTCAGTCTACCATCTCTCCATTTCAAAAGCCAAAACTTCCTAGAATACAGAGTCTCTGAACTGTTTCTATAATTCTCTTCTGATCAAAACTTCTTAGCAATGTAGAGAAGGGACACATTTGGGTTATACTGAGGGCATTGAAATAGCTAGGGTTGTTTCCTTGTTTATAATATCATAAGATCTAATTGTTGAACTATATTCTAATAACCTTTCATAGGAAGGAAAATAGCCAGATTGTGTATTACACATATAACAAATGAGGAAGTTGTGCATATAAAAGGAAACATGGGTTTTCTCTCATCCTGGGCCAAGTGCCTCATTATAGTCAATGTGTGTCCTTGGAAACTCTTTGCTTCTGCTGATGAAGGTAAGCATGTGGTCCCAGGCAGGTTCAAAGGCTGATCTACGAGAAATAGGCAATACAATATATTTTGTTTTGGAAGGAATTTCTCATGGAATAGGTTTCCCAAAACTTGACTTACAGGCTATGAAATCAAGCAAGTGGATGGAGAGAAAACAGGCCTCATTTTCAAAAAGTGCAAGTTGATACCATTGAAAGATTAATTGAAAATAGGACAAAAATAAACATATTTGGGGAGGCTACAGAATTGAAGACTGTAAAAGTTGTTGCCAAGGCCAAAATCAAATGTGAAATTG